TTTCCCCCAGCCACAGCACTGAGCACCTGCGTGGCCCTTGATAGGCTGCTGTGCGACTACTCAGTTTAGAGGGATTTGAGTACACTGGGAGTACCCTTCTTAGGCCTGAAGAGAAGCCTTGTGTGGCTCAAAACCTCTCACCAGCAGCAGTTGGTCCAATACAAAATTCTCTTCCACCTTGTTAGTGTAGGAAACTCTCCATTTTAATGCTTCTCACACCTTCATTTAATATATTTAACTATGGCAGCTTGGCCACCATACTGGATGGAATATTGGTTCATTGGCAAGGTCAGCTCCACACCTGGGCCCCAGGCCCCTGTTCAACCCAGTCTCACAGATAGTTTAGGTACTGTAGCAGAGGCCCCTCTTGCCCTTGCTGGGTTTAGATTTCTGTCCCTTGGCTAGAAGGACTTTGGGGTAGGTGCTCCCTGGCCTGTCTGGGCTGGGGAAGCAGTCCTCCCCAGCCACCAACTGAGACTCTCAGGCTACTTGGGGAAGGGAGCCCAAACACTCCCTTACCTTCCCCGCTGTCTCTAAGAATACTGACTTATTTTTATCAGCTTCTCTGATTCTCTCTTTATCTGCTGTATTTTCTCTCCACCTCACTCCATCTGCTCTTGCAGTCTCTTTTCCACAGGAGGGAGAGCTTTTTTAAAGGCCTGTGGCATCCTGAATGGAAATCAGCTGGTCCTAATTGATTTATAGGTGCCTGGTCTCACTCTGCCCTGTGATAACTGTCAGCCACTCCTGGCTGCCCTGAAGTAACCCTCTTCTAATTAATGAGGGCCATTCTCTCACATCTAGCCCTCTAACCCGCTCCATCACCCTGCTGCCAGGCTGGTTTGGCACCCTCGGGACCTGACTGCCCAAGATGAGAGATTTTGCCAGACCTGGGGAGATCATTTTTGGACCTCTGCCACCAGCCCCCCTGGCCTGGCGGCTGGCTTCCCAGCTGGCTTCTCACCTCCTGCTGGCACCACTGGGCTGCTGGCCTGCTGGGCACCATTGCTGCTGGGGCTCTAGACAGCTGTTCACACTGTACACTGGGGTTTCCTGAGCAGCTCATTCAAAGCTGTTAATGTGGCTATCGAGAGGGGGAAATTGCCTTTTTAGTGCATTAACCACTAGTGCTTTGAATGAGACCCTTATTCAAGCCAAAGTTGATAGTATTGAATTTCAAACAAACTCCAGTTCAGCTGTCTTCCTTTGTAATTGAGGTTTGAAATTCTTTTGTAGAGGGATGGCTACTTTCAAGTCCATTACTGAGGGTATGTCTAGACTACATGCCTCTGCCGACAGAGGCATGTAAATTAGACATACCGATATAGTCAATGAAGCTGAGATTTAAATATCCCCCAATTCATTAGAATAAAAATAGCCACTGTGTTGTGCCGGCTCAGCTGTTTGTTGGCACGAAGCGGCAGTCGAGACAGGGATCAGTCGGCAAGGAAAGCCTTTGCTGACCGATCCTGTAAACCTTGTGCAACGAGGCATAAGGGATCGGTCGGCAAAGGCTTTCCTTGCCGACTGATCCCTGTCTCGACTGCCGCTTCGTGCCAACAAACAGCTGAGCCGGCACAACACAGTGGCTATTTTTATTCTAATGAAGCAGGGGATATGAATATCCCTTCTTCATTGACTGACTGGGTGGTGAAAATCCTTTGTAGAAGTATGGTGACTTTTAAATCCATGATTGAGTGACTAGACAGGTTAAAATGTTCCCCTATAGGTTTCTGTGTGTTACCATTTCTGGTGTCTGATTTGTGTCCATTTATCCTTTGTCACAGAGACTGTCTGGTTTGGCCAATATACATGGCAGAGGGGCATTGTTGGTGCTGGATGGCATATATTAGGTTAGTGGATGAGCCCCGATGGTGTGGCTTAGGTGATTAGGTCTGTAATGGTGTTGCTTGTGTGGATATTTGGACACATACATTCATCTGTTAGGGTAAGTCTACACTTGCTCCCTAGTTCAAACTAGGGATGCAAATGGAGGCGACCGAAATTGCTAAAGAAGCAGGGATTTAAAAAAAAGTATTTTGAGGAATAATGTTAGTTCGAATCAAACCCTTTGGTTTGAACTAATGCGGCCCGGATCACACTTCCTTGTTCGAATTAGCTGGCGATTGGAATAGTGCGGGGGTGAGATTATGCTAATGGAAATGCGGGATATTTAAATCCCTGCTTCATTAGCAATTTCGGTTGCCTACATTTGCATCCCTAGTTCGAACTGGGGAGCAAGTGTAGATATACCCTCAGATACTAACAGACTTATTAGGGCATAATAAATCCGTTAGGATCTGAGGTGCCACAAGCCTCCACATTGGTTTTCCAGATACAGATGAGCACGGATGTCCTCTGAGACTTTTCATTATAGATGTGGTGATTGTGGTTGTACTTCTGCTTTCTACACTGTACTCTCCCCCGAAGTGAACTTTATTCTTGGTTTGGCTGATGCCTTCACATTGAACTCCAAGCTGGTACATGGCAAAGAACTGAGTTGCTAAGAAACACACCCAAATTTACTGACTTTTTTTTTTTTTTTAAAAGGATGAGTCATCATGGCTGCTGACGGGGCAAGATGAGGCCCAAAGTACTGCAAAGAGTTAGCACATTCTTCATTTGGACACATCAATCCCATACAGCCTCTCCTTCTGTTTTAATTTCTAGACTGCAGCAGTCAGGGCCTTAAAAAAAAAAAAAATCAGTGATTGGAGGCCAGGTGCCCATCAATATACATACAGGCAGTCCCCGGGTTACGTACAAGATAGGGACTGTAGGTTTGTTTTTAAGTTGAATCTGTATGTAAGTCGGAACTGGCGTCCAGATTCAGCCGCTGCTGAAACTGACCGCCAGGTTTTAATTTCTAGACTGCAGCAGTCAGGGCCTTAAAAAAAAAAAAAATCAGTGATTGGAGGCCAGGTGCCCATCAATATACATACAGGCAGTCCCCGGGTTACGTACAAGATAGGGACTGTAGGTTTGTTTTTAAGTTGAATCTGTATGTAAGTCGGAACTGGCGTCCAGATTCAGCCGCTGCTGAAACTGACCGCCAG